TTTGCATTATTCTTTTCAGCCCTTTTCACAATAACCATACTATTGAGGTTCCCTTGCTATGTAGGGTAACTTAGGTCTTCCATTGTTCTTGATAAAGGAAAGTTGAGTCTATATTGCTCTTACAAAGTGCTTGCTCGTGTGTGGGTAGCAGGATAGGCATCACCAGTGTACCTGTGCTGCTGCTAGTTCTGGAGGGGATGGAAGGGAGATTTCTCTTGTCTGCTTAACAAGGGTGCAGACATCAGGCCCAACATAAGCTCAAGTTTTGGAGTGGCACTCCTCAGATTGGATTCAGCATGGATTAGTACAACAGCAAGTGCAGCCTGCAAAGGAGGGTGAACACTGCAAGAGAACAGAGCAGAAAGGGCACAAAGACTGGTGAGAATGAACAGCAGCAGTCAGAAAGCTTCTAGAAAGTTGTATATGTCTACACAGGTTTACAGATACTGCCATTGTTTGGAGACAGAGGAAAGAATAAAGGATGCCTAAATAGGTAGTGGACAATCTAGACTAGTGAGCGTCAGGAAGGATTAAGCAGGCAGAGAAATGTGGTGGAAGTAAGTATTTATTGCACTCTGTGTGCTGAGGAGGTGGCCAATAATGCTGTTTGGTTTATTCCAATAAGAGTCTCAGGCTGCCACGTTCTCAGCTCTCAGTCCAGCACACGTGCAGAGCAGGGCAGCATTCTGCAAAGCACAGGGTCACTGTGTGGCACTGCCAGCTAGGGCAAACCTACATTTGGAGTTGGTACCAAACTCATGGTTTCCCCAGGTATGTCAGTGCTCAGATGTGATTCCTCTTGGAGGTTCTTCTTTCCAGTTGAAGTTATTTTGCCTATTTTGCTTATATATTCCTAGAATACGTTATGAATGAGACAATAAGTTTTCAATGAGTACAAAAGCAGGTGATTTCCATGGCTGCATTTATATTTTACTCTCTCTGTTCCTGATGATGAACTAGGTATAGTGGAATTTTTCCATATGCAAGAGGATTTTTCTTGGAACATCCACACAAAGTGCACTCCTAAATGAAAAATCCTCATTAGAGTAGAATCAAGGGGAAATGGTGAAAGCCAGCATGGGTCAGCAAAATGCAGAGTGGTGAGACTAGTCTCATAAAGCTGTAGCAGGTAAAGAGGACTTTTCTAATATGTGGATGCTAACACCTTAAGGTAACAAGACTCCTGATTGTATGAGGATGCATGATATAAGCAGATATAGGGTCTTTGCTTTGGAGTTTCTGTCATATTGTAAAGCATTACTTGAATACTGGAAGCTTAGGAAGCAAACTCCTTGAGAATGCCAAGTTTATAATCACAGCCAACTAATGTTGAGTACTGTGAAATTATCTTGGCCTTCAACATCCCTGTGAAGCTTGGAGCACATTAGAAGTGAAGTTCTGAAAGTGTTGGAGAATGGTGTGACAAGTTTGTGGTTGAATCCCCATCCCTGGACGTGTTTAATAAGTCATGTAGATATGACCTTAGGGCCATGGTTTAGCAGTGGACTTGATAGTGTTAGCTTAATGGTTAGACTTAATTCCAACCTAAACAGTTTTATGATTCTAAGTTTTAAAAGCTAGGGGAGTAGCTGTCTAGGGTACCCAAAGGGGAACGGGAACAAAAAGCAAAGTTTATTTCTGAATGGCTTTTGTGAAAAGATGGAAGGGTGACCCTGACCACAACATCATTTTCTTTCAAGAAAAAAGCATGAAAAAATTTGTGCTTTGACTGTTGCTGCCCCAATGTCTAAAAAAGTCCCTGCAAAACCCCACACCTCTTCTCTTGTCTGAAACTTCAGAAAAGGGAAAGAAAGTAAGGCAGATCCTGAGACACCAACATTTTTTTGTAAATATATCAATTTTTCCAAATTTCTTAAGAATACTTTTAGGAGAATTTAGTATCTAAACACTTTGGGTTTACTCTTGAAAAGTAATCTTCCTATTTCCTCCAATGGTAGTGATTGTTAAGACAATTTCAAAATAATTTTACTCTGAAAGATAAAAACCACAGCAATATAAAGAAACCATTCTGAAAACTTCAGGGCACATGGCTCATATTTCAAATGACCATCCTGACCCTCTTCAAAAGCATCTCAGAAAAAAAACAAGGATGTCAAGTTTATCTGGAGCTGTCAGCAAGCTCAAGGAGCTGTAAATGAAGCCTCTGTCTGAGTTCATTCACGTGTCACCAGATTTACCATCACGGTCATACCTGTAGGCAACAGCTCCAGACCTTGCTCTGCTCACACTGTGGAACCTAAGGGCTTCCTAAGTGAATCCTGAGACCTAAATGTTTAATGGTAGAATAAACAACTTCCCCGTGTCACAAAGAAACTGCATGCCAAAAAGAATACTTGCTACTTAAAAGCTCAGTGGCAAGTTTTCTCTGGAATCACTCTTGACTAATTCAGATGGCAAATCCAAGAGAATGGGGTGATGGAGTTTGTACTAACCCATCCATCACGAGGTGAGCAGTGAAGTAACAGGAAAGAAATTAATTTTTGAGAGAGAAATCTGATTGGCAGACTAAGTAAAGAATGAGAGGAAGAACAGAACTTATGATGTAGGTGGCTTTCCAGGAGCAATGGGATAAATAAGATGGAATATTGAGGAATAGGTATTTGGGAGTTTGAAAGATGCAAAACACCACATAAAAAGAAAGTCAATCAGAATAAAAGTCCTACATAGATGGATCTGTCTAATCATAGAGATAAATAGGATTTCTTTTGGTGAGCTATTCATCGTTGATGGTTCCATTCAGGACCACTCTGGATATTGTAGAGGCCTGTGCTGCTGTGTGACTACAGCAGTGGTTACAAACTCACATTTGGATCTGGGACAAGACTTCTGGTTTCACCAGGTACATTTACCCTGATTTTTTTTTCCTAATTTGCAAGGTTGTTGTGGATATACCCAATGGTTCCATTCAGGACCACTCTGGATATTGTAGAGGCCTGTGCTGCTGTGTGACTACAGCAGTGGTTACAAACTCACATTTGGATCTGGGACAAGACTTCTGGTTTCACCAGGTACATTTACCCTGATTTTTTGATCTGGGAAATGGCAGCTGCCAAAGGCATAGTAGCCTGAGGTCTCAACCAGTGGAATTTACTCCATGGCAGCTGTCCAAGCAGTCTTCCCTGGGGCCACTGCAGGCAGGCATGTGCTTTCAGTGCTCTTCCATTCATTGTGTTCCTGGGGTGAGCTGGGACAAAGTCTGGTTTTGCTCTTTTTTCAAGTAAGTCATGTGGATTTGTTCTCCCCTAAGGGTAAATCCATCCCACATCCATTGCTCTCAAGCAAAGTCATGGGTGTCACACATCAGATGAAGATGCATTGAAATACAGGAATGAATATTATTTACATTGCTGGGCACAAGCCAGCACTGTGCTCTCACAGACCAGAAGGCAAACTGTACCCTGGGCTCACCCCCAGCAGCGTGGGCACAGGGCAGGGAGGGGATCCTGCCCCTCTGCCAGCTCTGGGAGACCCCCCTGCAGTGCTGGGGCAGCTCTGGAGGCCTCAGCACAGCAGAGCCAGGGACCTGCTGGAGCGGGGCCAGAGGAGCCCCAGCAATGCCCCGAGGGGGGAACCCCTCTGCTGGGAGCCCAGCAGGAGAGAGTTGGGCTGGGGCAGCCTGAGGAAGAACAGGTTCTGGGAAGACCTTTCAGTGTTTAAAGGGGCCTGTCAGAAAGATGGTGACAGGCTTTTAGGAGGGCCTGTAGTGATAGACCAGGGTGATGATTTTAAATAATAAGAGAGTAGATTCAGACTCAAGACAAGAACAAATTATTTTACACTGGGGGTGCTGAGCCCCTGGCCCAGGCTGCCCAGAGAGGTGGTCGCTGCCCCATCCCTGGAACCATCCCAGGGGAGGTTGGCCGGGGCTCTGAGCACCCTGCTCTAGCTGGGGGTGTCCCTGCTTATTGCAGGGGTATTTGACTAGATGACCTTTAAAAGTCCCTTCCAACTCTAACTATTTTACATGTCTCAGAAAATATCTACTTGTAGTATTTATCACCATTTTAGCAGAATCCCTTATAGCAGAAGAACCTATAGCAGAATCCCACCAAGGAAGAGTATACTTGTAACATTTTTAGTACTGGTGTTGGAATGGGAGTTGAGCTGCCTTTTAGCTGGTCAGTTGGATGTATAGATACTCCATCACCTACAAATATTGCAAGTGTCTCATCTTTGCAACTGGGGCTTGGATCTGGATTTGCTGATCCAGCCCAGCTACAAGGCCACACTTAATAGTGACTCCAGCTCACACGTGCCAAGTGAGTGTATATGATTCCTAAACTAATAGAGTTAGAAGGCTCAGATTGAGGCTGAGATCTAATAGAACAGGGAGATTATAGCCTAATAAAGAATAGAAGGAGATCTAATAGAAGGCTAAGATCTAGTCAGGGTCAAAATGTACCAGTGAAACCTGTCAGGAGATAACTGTAACCAAGGTCAAAGGGTTTCTTGCAAAGGTTTCCTGGGTCGTGTGAACTATGGGGGTGGAGGATATAAGGTGACATTAGGAAAAGGGATGATCAGGCCAGGGGGGTAGTAAATGGTGAAATATTCAGGACAATACTTATTCTGAAATTAGATTTTGAAAGCTAATAGCTGTTAGGGCAGTGGCCCTGGCTACAAGGCACAGTGAACAGGAACTTCAGATGATGTTGCAGATGGAGAAACAGATTGTTCCCAGTATTGCTGTGAAAGGTGCAAGACACGACTGTAACAAGAGCCTGTGTGAACATCTTGAATTTTTTTTCTTCCTGACTCTGCTCCTGATCATTTTCTCTTCGATTTCTTTGGCCCTTTGCTGGTGAGCTGATTGTCAGCATGCATTGGGAAAACCAGCCTGCATTTTTGCAGAGGTTGACACCAGTGTGTCAATCAGGGAGATGTACAACTGGCATTGGAACTGGGGCCAAACTTCTTGTTACCACAAGTGTTTGAGCTTTCTGCTCCAGAATAACACCAGGACTGGCAAATCATTTGTTCATTAGGTAGGTGGGCTAAGGACTTTCATGGAAGCCTGTTCCAGCTTCTGCTCAGCTTCCCTTGACAGAACTGAGTTAGAATAGAGATGCTGTCTTGGAAGCCAAGGAGTGCTTGGCTGTGATGTGGCAGTGAGCCACTGCAAGGGAGAACAGCTAGAGAAGACAGTAATCTTCATGTAGGTGTGATAATGGCCAGTTGACACATGGCTGAATGCTGCATGAAAGGTTTAGCATTTTCATAGAGTTTCTGGCCATTCAAGTTGTTCAGACTTGATTTTTGCATTTTTAAAATAATATCTGGAGCTTGTTCTGACTAATGACTTACATATTGGATCTTCTAACTCAGCCAAAAAGAATATGTCGTGATTTATTGATTTATTGATTTATAAATTCAAAAGTCAAGTCCCTTTCCATATTTGTAAAAACTGATGTTACAATGGCAGCAGTCAGGAACTGGGAAAAACTGTATTTGGAAGGTGAACCAAACTGGCTATGATGCATGGCAACTCTGTCTCCTCACTTATCATTTAAAATGCTTTAGAAACTTGAAAAGATGTCATGAAATTTTAGAGATCTTTGTGTGTCATCCTCTGGCAGCTTTCCCAAATAGTTTGGGTGAGGAGCCATCGGAATATGCAGCCAGTAGGCAGGAATATATTGCAAAGGCTTCTCTTTGAGTAAAAGACAGAGTAAATATGTGTTTGCAAGAGGAATGAGATTTAAAGCCAGCCCAGGTGAGTAAAATTTGGAGCAGGACAGGCTGTGAAGGGAGGGGCAGTGTCCACTGGTTAGAGTTTCTGAATGGCTCCACGTTTTTTGATAAACTCCAGATGCAGAGCAAAGGAAGGAGTGGAGACTGCAAGAAAATTAACCTGGGATTATTTCTCAACAGGGGCTTATGCAGATGGAGCAGGGACACTGCAAATACTGGGAAATGAAGCATCAGCATCAATGTCTTAGGTTAATGATGCTGGCATATCATTAACACTAATTTCTGAGCCCTGTCAGACAGAAATTGTGTTTTTCCTTACACTGAAGGGGAAGAAAAATCAGAGATACTTCTGGGTTCATGCTGAACTTTTAGTTTCACACTGCAGTGTGAAGAAATTTCCCAGGGGACTTAGACTATGGTATTGGCAATGATTTCCACTGGGGTGTGTGGTGTACTGGAGCTAGGGGGGTAATTTTTGGAAACGGCACAAGATTGCAATCCAAAATACATTAAACAAATCAATGTACCCATGAAACAGACTGAGCAGGAAGAAATGTAAATTTTATTTATTGTTTTGCTGGCACTATATGAATAATTAATCTCTCTATTCAGAAAGGTTTGTTTGGTTTGGGTTTCGTTGTTTGGGTTTTTTTTTTAATTGAGGGTTGGATTAGATGACCTTTAAAGGTCCCTCTACCCCAAACCATTCTATGAGTCTTTCATTTGTTTTTCTAGAAACAAAATCTCTGCTGTATAAAATTGAAAACTTGTTCTGGCAGTTAAAACCCACTCTGATTTTGAAAGAAAAAAACCTGCAAAAGTATTTTGTGGAAATAACAGGGGTTCTCAGGAGGTTCATGAGCAGCTACTTCAAGTCTTTTTCTTTCTGGACAACTGTTAAACAGATGGGTTAGGACATCTCATTCACCTGTGAGCATGAAAGAGTGGATCAGATAAGCAGAATTGCTGCTTCTGACTGCCTAGAATCTTTCCATAATATTGTTGAAAGGAGCAGCAGAAGAAATCATTATAAATTTCTCCCACATTTTAGATGGTGCATGAAATAAATCTCTCCATGAACACAAATAGGGTTATGCTTTGCAGTATGAAATTTAAGAAAACTTCATCTCAGCTTTTCTTTAACATGAACACGATAAGCAGAATTGCTGCTTCTGACTGCCTAGAATCTTTCCATAATATTGTTGAAAGGAGCAGCAGAAGAAATCATTATAAATTTCTCCCACATTTTAGATGGTGCATGAAATAAATCTCTCCATGAACACAAATAGGGTTATGCTTTGCAGTATGAAATTTAAGAAAACTTCATCTCAACTTTTCTTTAACATGAACAGCTGCTATAAACCCAGGATTTGTAATGTTTTGATACTAGAGAACTATTTAGTCCATTGAACACTTGATTTCTCCTCACATATCTTTCACTATGCATTCAACTTTAGTTTTGGTTCAGCTAGAAATCTTCCTGTTTAAAGGTTTGGGAGGAAGACCTTGGGTGGTTTTGGTAGTTTGACTTTATTACACATTACAGAGGCAGTGACAAACACATTTCTGGGATGAAGACCAGAATTTTGTCTGAACCCTGTCAGTGAAGCAGTAGATTCATATTTGCAAATAGGAAATCTCTGCACTGAGGCTTTGTACTTTGGATGACTTGGCTGATGCTGTGCTAGAACCTGGTTTCTTTTATCTGAGCACCTCCAGACATGAGTTTAGAGAAGTGTTCAGGTACTAACAGTGGACATCTAGCCTTGCTGTAGACATCCTGGTATCCATGCAGGGCTGGTGGATGTCACAGAGGCCTCTGGTAGACTGTTTGGAGCCTCCACTGGAGGAGAGCCAGCAAACATCACTAAAGTGCTTCTTAAGTCACTGGAGCTGCTCCTCTGTGGTGAAGATTAGCCTGGGTGTATAATTCCACTGAACTGGGCAACAGCTCCAGGTTGACTCTAGCTGTGGAATCTCATGTCCTAGGCTGAGGAATGGTTAGAGGATCCAACACCTCTATCACAGCAGTTCCAGTCTGACCAAAGAGTCACAGAGTTTGTTTTGGAGTGAATAAAGAATGAGATAAATCTCTGTATAATAGAAGCTGTGTGTTAAACCAACTCAGAATGAGATAAATCTCTGTATAATAGAAGTTGTGTGTTAAACCAACTAACTCAGGATTTCTACTGCAGCTTGGTGGGGAAAAGAAAAAACAAGGCATAGGTCTCAGTCTTCTGTTGGAACATGCTTCTACTGCTCTCTCACTGAACTCATTCTCTGGAGCTGGATTTTTCTGTAGACTGCTCAGGAATGGCATTCCAACAACTCCTGTTCTTCCACCTGCAAGACAGCCTTCAGTAAAGGTGCAGTTAGGCAGGGCAGACAGCTTAGAGCAGCATGATTTACTTAATATTTCTTGCAAATGCAGGTCATAAATACCAACACAGCATCTCCAACACCTCTGCCACCTCATTAAGACTGAGTAACAGGAAATGTGGGTCACAGAGCTGTGGTTATAATAGCTGCTATTTACCAAGAGTATCTGCAAACTTTCATAGCTGTGCAAATATGCAGAGGAGCTTATCAGAAAAAGTCTCTAGTACTGGAAAAAAGAGCAGCCACCCTGAGCAAGAAGGAGAAATGAGTATTTTGCAAAGTGCTGCTGAAGCTGCCTGGAACAAACAGACTTTTTTTTCTTTTTATCTGCTCAAGATAAAAGCATTGCACAGATTAAAAGGGAGAAAAACACCCTAATTTGGAGAGAGGCAGATACACAGCTCTTCAGAAAGCAGAGTACTCAGTTATAAGAGAGAAGCAGAACAGCTTGATCACTTCTTTCTCTTCTCTTTTGCATCCATGTGCTCCACGACAATGATGTACACTGCTTCATCTGTATTTTATTCAGGGATCTACCATCAACCTTTTTATCTGCTCCTGTACAACTGGTCGTTACAACTGGTCACTGAAATCTATTTCCAAAAGAATAACTGAGAGTGTAGGAGATGGGAAGTGGGGTCAAGGGAGTCAAAACATGAGGTAAACTGTATTCTGTGTAGTTGGGGAAGAGTATCACGAGTTTTTCAAAGGCAAGGCAAAGCTGGGACAGCTGTACTGCAGCTCAGGAGAAGGGCCAGAGAATGAATCATGAGGCTTTGTGGATTTTTCTTTTTCTCAGACCATGCTAATAAAGAAGTATGATGATTTCTGTCAAGTGCTAACGTTTTTACCTCAGTGATAGAACTAGGGTCTGCACTTACATAAGTTTTTGAGACATTTTCTAATAGCCAGGACTTAGTTCAAACTTCCCCCACGGGTAGAAATGAAAACTTCTTCACCTGGGAGCTAAGCTGCCTTCAGTATTTGTATGATATTTATCAGTGTGGGCTGTGAACAAGGACAAAACAAAGATTAATCTCAACTCTCACCCTACCCAGTAACACTTTGCCAGTTTATAAACCTGAACTGAAGCTCTGGTTCAGACCTGTCCTTGGGAAGGCCGATGGAAACTGCAGACAGAGGGTGGCTGAAAGCCCCAAATCTGCATCTTGGCCACCATACATCTTCAGTCATATTTCATCTATTCATCATTCCAGGACTGCAATGCCATAACATGTTACTATTACGCATGAACAAGGACTGAGGAAAGCACCTTCTCAAAGAATCAGCCTTCCAGAGCTGTGCAAGATGAAATGTGTGCTTAGCGTGCACGTTTATGTGCTAAATGTGCCAAAAAGAGTTTAACCACGGGTAGTGTTCTGCTACGTGTGGAAAATCCTAGTGTAACTGACTTGCTAGTAGTAAGGAAACAGAAATAAATTCCAGGAGTCTTATATCTGCAGCCTTTAGTTGCCCACACCCCTCTAAAATTTAGTTTATAAATCTTCCACCCTACTGTCAGGTGGTGGAACAGAGTGAGATATTAATTGCATCTTTCTTTCCCTCCCTGCAACCATATGCTCCTATTTCACAGTGCCTTTTGTGGCTTTCTGCTGCAGGGACACAGTTAGCTAGGCTGGTGGCAAATGGGGACACCAGGGGAGGCAGTGGGAGGTTGGATGGCCGTGGGGGATCTGACTACACGCTTGCAGAAGCAGCAGAATGCCCCATGGCTGATCAGTGCTCATCCACCTCCTAGCAGTGAAGCAAGAAGAGAGGGCAACCAGGCCAAGGCCCAGGAGCAAGCCCAGGCTGCAGAGCAGAGCTGGATGAGTTGTTACAGAGTGGAATGACTAGGTTAGAGATGGACATCTAGGGATGCCCACATGGGTATCATTCCTGATGGTCTGGGGACCCTGCCTGACCACTTTCTGTGTCTTCCACAGAAAATAAGTCAATGTAACTCTCATGTAGCTTCTGCACCATCAGCTGTGGATGCTTTGGTCCCCTAAAGGTGTCCTAGCACAAGATCCCTATGATCAGGCAACCTCTCTCTGCAGTCATGGGAACATCTCCATACTTGGCTGTATGTTAAGACTGAAGGAACTGACTCTTTACTCTCCTCTGATGTCTCTTCTCCATTTCCAGAGGTCACTCCATCGCCTTCAGTCTACAGGCTGACTTCTAAAGATGATGAAGACCTGGAAATGTGCCTCATCACAGATTACTCCCCTGAGAGGCTCACTCTTGACTTCACTGACAAGCAGACCAGTGCTGTCGTGGAGGTGGCAACGGAGCACGAGCAGGAAGCCAGCTACCTGTCCACCTACTGGGCCAGGAGAGAGGAGATGCAGTGTGCTGCCACTCACGAGGGCTTTGGAGAACTGGAGGGGGAGGATCCTGAAAGTGGTAATGGCACTGTTGGATGTGTGCATGGAGCTAGAGCTACTCTGGGCACCGTGCTGTTCATAGGAGCAGGATTTGTTCACATCTCCCAGCCCTGCAAAAAAAAGGCTGAATTACGTTCCCATTCTCCAGAGGAACGTTGCCTTGTAGCCTCTCATAGAATCATAGAATCCTTTAGGTTGGAAGGGACCTTCAAGATCATCAAGTCCAACCATTGAGCCATTAGGGCTCTAAAGTCCTCTGCTAAAACAGATCAGAATCTGTCAGGGTTGGAAGGGACCACAAGGATCCCCCAGTTCCAACCCCTCTGCCATGAGCAGGGACACCTCCCACTAGATCAGGCTGCCCAGAGCCTCCTCCAGCCTGGCCTTAAAGACCCCCTCTGTTTTCTTTTGCTTTCCTCCTTGGTGGAAACAAGATTAATGGTCAGTGGACTGGTACAATTATAGCAGAGAGATCCTAAAATCACACTGGGGGGGTGGGGATATAAAGCTTGAAATTCCTTTGTCTGATGGGACACTGAAGCTCAATCAGATCATATTTTATGCTTGCTCTGAAAACAGCAGACAGTGGGAGGGTTTTTGGGTCAGAAACTCAAATGCAGCCCTTCTGAGTAGAGATACCTTTATGAACTTCTGGAAAAGTCCATTTCTCTCATTAAGTAAATTTGTTGTCACTATCTGCAGGTGCCAGCAGTGTCTGTGTTACAGGGATGGCTCTACACTTCAGGACAGGTATGTACATAGCATTGGAGGAGTAAAGCTTGGCCTGGTTAAAGGAAATGTCTCCCCAAGTTTGTGCTGATGTTCCCTATTTGCAGAATTCTTGTTGGAACAAAAAGCTTAGACTGAAAATTTCCAAAAGGGCCCCACAGGGTTTAAATGTCAAGGCTGGAAGACATCAGATTAATGCAGTCTTCCAGATATGAGCTGGTAATTTTATGTGACCAGTGTAGTCAGTGCCTGCCTAGCTAAACAGCTACTCCCCATCACATGAAGATTTAAGGCACTGAAATGAGTCAGCCTCACTGGATGTTTGTCTGCATTTTAGATTTCAAAAGAGTTGGAAACTTTTGGGTGCACAGAGAGCACAGAACCAAAAGCCAAGCAGCTGGTTTGTGCAGCCTGTGCTCGGCAGCAGGGGTGCAGCAGAGCCAGGGGGTAGCTGAGCAAGCTTTGCTGCAGCCCCTGGCTGTGGAGGGCACCAGCTGAGGGCTGGAGCCCAAGCAACTGCTGCTGCTGCTAGTTCAAAGGTGCAGAGCCTGCCCCTGCTCCTGCCCTGCTTGCAGCAGAGCTGTGCTTTTGCAAACCCACAGCCTTGCTGAAAACAGCCAGCCACAAGTTTCCAAAACATCGCTTCAGAAAAATACCCGTCAGTAAAGGGCTGATTTGATCACTCATTTCAGAGAAAAGTTTTCAAAGATAAACATAAAATGACTTTTTGATGACAGCTCCCTGCTTCCCCAGAATAGCTCGAGGTATTTTCAAATGAAAATGACTTTTTAACTGAAGATTAACAGAAAATACAAGTAGACTTTTGTTCTTTGAATGGAATTTAACTTGTTTCTGCCCTGCCCATCTTAAATTTTAGGGAGAGGAAGGAGGGACATCTCCAGCATTCATAACAACTTCTATTTAAAAACATCTAGATGGTTGGCAGACTTGCCTATTGGATAATTAAGTGGTTATTGAATAAAAACCTGGCCCTTGAAATGCCAACTGGAAGAGATGAAAGTCTCTCAGTGAGCCAGTCCTGCTCATGGTCTCATTAGCTATCCTCCAAGCCCACCCCAGATGGAACAGCTTCATGAAGAAGTGCTTTTAAGCCTGTCTGGAAGGGAGGTGACTTGGTGCTCTTGTGACTGTTGTTCTCTGTTCCTTTGACAGATGAACACCTGAACATGCTGTCCTTATCCCATCTGGGCCTGAAAATAATTCTAATGAAAGGAATCATTTTTAATGTGCTGATGACGATGCTCATGTGGAAAAAAAAGTGAGTATGCCTGGAGGGAGGCAAGACCTCTGACAGCAACTATCTGGATCAGTTTGTTAGCTCTGAATGTTCCTTCTCCCTTTAGTGACTGTGTGTGCAGCCCACCAACATTAAACCCCCTCCTCTCCTGTGGCCATTGTCTTTGCCCAGCCCTCAAGTCTGTTTACTTTTCCTTATCCTCATGCAAATCTAGCTTTTTTTTCTTTTTTCTGGACATATCTCCCTTCTGTTCCTACATCCATCCTTCCCTTGTCTGTATTCATCCATCAGATTAACCCCTTGGCCACTCTCCAGCTGGGAAAGGTTGATGCCTACAGACTTGAGACCTCAGACCTAATATTTTAGTGTTTGCCCAGTGTCTTTTTCTCCTCTTTGTATTGCCTGGACACTTCAGGTCTGCAATTGGCTGTGTCATAGACTGGCTGAGGTTGGAAAGGGCCCTAGAGATCATCCAATCCAACCTCTCTGCCATGGGCAGGGATGCATCTCAACTAGATTAGGTTGCTCATCCAACCTGGCCTTGAACACCTCCAGGGAGGGGCATCTACAGCCTCCCTGGGCAATCTAGTCCAGAGTCTGGCCACCCTTGTACCAAAGAGCTTCCTAAGATCCAGCCTAAACCTGCTCTCAGTCAGTTTAAAACCATTTCTGCTTGTCCTGTCACTGGACACACTTGTAACAAGTCCCTCTCCAGCCTTCCTGGAGGTTCCTTCAGGTGCTGGAGGCAGTTCTAAGGTTCCCTCAGAGTCTTCTCTTCTCCAGGCTGAACAACCTCAGTGCCCTCAGCCCATCCTCAGAGCAGAGATGCTCCAGCCCCTCCATCATCTTTGTGGCCTCCTCTGGACTCGTTCCAGCAGATCTCTGTCCCTTTGTTGGTGGGGACACCAGAACTGGACGCTCTGTTCAAGGTGGGGTCTCACCAGAGCAGAGCAGAGGGGGAGAATCACCTCTCTTGCTCTGCTGGCCACACTTCTCTTGATGCATCCCGGGGTGCAGTTGGCCTTTGGGCTGCATGAGCACATGGCCAGCTCATGTTCAGCTTCTTGTCAGTCAGCACCCCCAAGTCCTTCTCTTCAGGGCTGCTCCCAGCCAGCTCTGGACCCAGTTTGTATTTGTGCCTGGGACTGGCCTGACCCAGAGGCAGGATCTTGCACTTCAACGTGTGGAACCCCCTGCAGTTTGCACTGCCCCACTTCTCCAGCCTGTATCCCAAACAATGATTTAACCTAGCTTCATTTCTGTTACAGGAATGAAAGTAACCACTTCTGAAGCACCAAAAAAACCTGCTGAGGAACCTTTACCAGAGCACCGTGCAGGAGAGGGACCACGGGCATCCCTGCTGCAAGGGGTCTCACCTGCTGTTTCTGTGCCTCAGCACCAGCCACCAGAGTCCACTTCATTGCTTTATTCCCACTGTTGCAGAGCTACTCAAAAATAAGCTTAAAATTTTTAGCATTCTGCTAAAACATGCTAAATTTAGCATGACAATGTCTCTTTCTGCACGAAGCACAGTCTGAGGGAACTATAAATTGGCAAACATGATTATTCCTTGTGTTAAAATGACACACAGCTTCTGCTTGGGGCAGGGTTTGCTGAAAACTCCAAGCTAAATGCCACCTGAACGTGAATTTTTCACCTTTTGGCAGTTATCAGGTGTGGATGTCTTAGAGGGCACCCCCACAGACACCGTGTCAGCTGCAAATGAAACACTGAAAAGCAAAGGGAGACGTGCTCACCATGCTCTGCACAGGGCACTGCTACCTTCAGCTAAATGACAGCAAGGTGTCTTTTTTTTTTTCCTTAAAAGATATGCTGCTCTGTGCCCCAGAATTCCTGAATTCAGTGAAATTCTCACTTCACAAAACCAAAGAATTTTCCTTTGTATTTTTTAAATTCTCTTTGACCTTAGCAATTTCTGAATTTAAACCAGTTTAAACTTTGGCTTTGTGTTAGGAAAAATACAAACTGCTTTTGTTCCTTTTGTTTAATGATAATCACCTTAGATTTCCTCATTTCTTTCTATAACCATTGCATAAAACTCTATGGAAATATTTACCTGCCCATGAGTGCACTGCTTGGAAACAGTGCAAGCATGTGAAAACTGCACCCTGCCAATCCTTGACTTGTTCTGGCAACCATCCTGATGCCTTGGCATCTCTTTAGGCCTTTGGCTGCTATTAAACAATTCTTATCAAAAATAAGAAATTTGTTTGTTTGTTTGTTTGACCTGTAGTTTGAGGAACTTGTTTTGCCTTCCAGAGGAGCTTTAGGAATGAGCCTGGCCTGTGGGGTGAAGGAGAGAAGGGCTGTCAGGAGTCTCTTCAGCCTGACTTGGCCACAAGGCACTGCTGGCCACCACTGGCTGGGTCCCCCATGGGGGTGGTGGGGGAAATAGCTGCAAAGTCCCTTTTCAGGACATCCTTGCTGAGCCTGGCTGGCTCAGAGGGAGAGGAACAGAGCACCTCTCCTCCAAGAACAAGACTCAGCTATTTGAAGACAAGTGTAAAATATGGCTTGCCCACAGTGAGAGGACCAGCAAGTGGTCAAGGTGCTTGAAGGCAGATCCCTACTGCTCTGGGAACACAGGAGTCTGAAGTGTCCTGCCTCTAAATGTCCTCCACTCCCAAATGTCTTTGGAAAACGTGGTACCTGCTGTGCCTTAATGACACCAACCAGCCTGTGTCTCCAGGGTCAGTCTGTCACTGGCAAGACCAGACAGGAAGTTTTTCTTCTTTTTTCTTCTTTTAATTGACATTGATTTCTCTGTCTTCTTCTGAAGCACCAGAGATTCCTCCAGAGAGAGAAATGAGAAGGGTGCTGGAACCTTGCTTGTACCTCACACCACTGCCCAAACCAAGTGGCAGGGAAAGCCTTGGGAGGCTGCTGGGGCTGATTCCCCCTCCTGGGGTCTTCCTCACCCTCCTGGATCCAAACCCATTGCAAGGCACTCTGCTTGCAGAAAGCCTCATGCTTGAAATGCTTTTAGCCAAAAGCCTTGGTGCTCCATGTGGAAAAAGGACCAGGCCAGTGTCCCTGCCCCAGGATCTGACTCCACAGTGCTGAGCAGCAACACAACACAGTCTCCCTGGTCTCCTGCCACCGTGCTGCCACCTCAACAAAAGTATATGGGCTATGCTTTCCCACCCAGACCTTCCCCTTCCTTGGCAGCTTCCACTCAATGATGCTGGCAGCACACTCCACCTTGTCCCTGCCTGGTGTATCCTTTCTTCCATTCAGCAGCTGGCCTGTCACAGGGTGGCAGTTACTGACCCCTCCTGCTAAGGAACAACTTCAAACTTTCTTCATCCCTTACCCTGATTATTTTATAGTATGTTCAGGACTCATTCTCTTGTCTCTCCCCTGACCCAACAGCCACTCTCATTCCTCTCCATCTGCGGACAGCCCATGGCTCTTCAGGGGCCAGATTCCAGGCAGCTCTTGAGGCTACATGTCACTCAGGATGAGGACAGCCACACACAGAAGAGCTTGAGGAACCTGCCTAAACCATTTTTGAATTACAAAGCCACCCCACTCCACAGATTTCCATCTGATTAACCTCACTCCAGGAACCTTCAGGGATGTGGGAGAGAAGTTTCCACTCTCATTTACCTGTAGCATCACTTTTAAAAATCCACCTTAATTTTTTTGTGTGTGTTGCACCCCAAACTTGCTCCCAGCTGTGTGGTCAAAGAGGAAGGACTGCTGCATCTGTTTCCACATCTCACCCCTTCTCCTCCAGGTTGAGGACCCCAGGGATAAGATTTGCTGAGTGCACAGATCAATGTTTTGACCGAAGTGACCGTTAGCCAGCAACCTGCAAAACACTGAGTGTGTAGGTCTAGTTCAAAGATACTTTCAGATCTCATGCTTTCAACCTCCCCTCACCACAATGTGCACACCACCCACCCCACCTCCCATCCCCACTTTGTGCTTTCTTGTTTATTTTGAGCCTGAAAAACCACAGAGCAAAGCAGAGGCAGGAAATAAGACGGGGGGACAGGATGCAGAAGGGGCCTCGTGGCCCAGGTGGGGCAGGAAGAGAACACACCACCAGTTCCATGACATCACAATCGAGATCTGGGTCACCTTTTGATGCTCAGCTCCACCCTCCTGCAGAAACCACTTCCTCTGGAAAGTGGAGCTCAGAACAGGGGCAGGGGGCAGGGGGCTGGTGT